TGTTTGTATGTGGTGGTAGCCCCAAGTCTCCATTCGTGCATAGGGGTGGTTGCGTCTCGATAGCTATAAGGGTGCGGGAGATATGAGGCTGAAAGTGGTTGAAAGTGGCATTCTATTTCGAATGTTTTGTTCGAATTAAATTCGAACATAAAATTCGAATATTGGTTCGATTATATAACGACTGTAAACGTTCCAGAAACGTTGAAAATAGTTCGTTTGACTAAACGTAAAAATTCTCTAATTAGTCTGGAAACGGGGGACCTAATTTTTGCATTCTGTGAAAACGGGTAAGATTGACTATAATGTAATTATCTTAATCTTCACTATCGTTCCTTTTTAAAAACCCAGCGAAGCGGGTCCTTGCATTCTAGATTACTTAGAAAAACAGTCTTTTATATATATAAAAAAAACTATATTACATACAAATGTACGAACATATAAAAACCCAACGAAGCGGGTCCTTGCAGCTAGTATATAATAAAATCTATTAATTAAAAAAATTTAAAAACTATCGGAGGTCGTTTTTGACATCAGAAACTAGCTTTAAATAACTTTACCGAAAGAAAATCGGTGCACTACAACTTTAGAACGATGAATGAAATCTGATATCAAACTCCCATTAAAAAACAATTAAAATGCAATAAAGCGTGAAGCGCGCGTCATTAAAGGTTTTTTTAAAATCGCGATAAAATTTTTTCGCGCGGGCAAAAAATTTTGAAAAAATTTGGGGACCTAAAAAACATTTCAAAAATTCAAAAAAAAATTGGGGCCCAAATGCCCGCGTTTTTCATAACGCTATGTAACTTGCCCGAGATATCTCGGGATTTGGGCTTAAGGTGTTTTTTATTAATAAATGAATTAAATTTTAAACACGTTTACATATAAATTTACAATTACTGGAATATACACCAAATGGGTTTTGTTTATTTTAAAAAAATTTTCCAAAAGAATAGTAAAGATATAGGAATCGATTTGTTAAATTATACAATAAATTAATTAATATAAATTAATAAATTATTCTTAAGTTAAATCTTCGATAATTTATTTAATTCGTTCAATTTTAAATTTTCATTTAGAATAATGTAAATGTAAAAATCGATTCACAACGTTTATTTTTGAAATTATTTTAAAAATTAAGGCCATCTTCAAGTTCGAACTATGATAATAGGCTGAAAACGTTTGTAAAATAAAGAATTTTCTCTGACAAATAAGAATCTTACGTGATGTAATAAGATTATAAAGTAAATTTTAAAAAAAACTAAATAAAAATATGCATCTAGTTGTTTTTGATTTTGTCCTAAGAAATTTTACTACAAAGAGGACGAAGCCTAGACCAGAAGAAATTCTGCGAATGGAGTCCGACAAAAGAGAATTTTACAAACTTTTCTGGTGAAGCCTGGAAAGTTTTTTAATTAACTTTTTCCGCCCTGTGGGCACTAAGAGGGCCTCTTTTTGCATACCCATTATGAGTTCCGCAAGGCCCACAATGGGGCTGCCGGGTGGTGAGAGACGGGGTCCGACATTTCCGAACGGAATACCCCCTAAAAAATTCCTGGGGATTTTTCGACCCGTTCGGATTCGAATCCGGGTTCTCCAGAGCGGTAGGCTGCCACCTTGATCGCTCGGCCATCCGGCCGCTGCCTGGAAAGTTATGCAACTCGTTGATGGAAATTTAAAAAAATAATAAAATTCAATATACTTAATCTTAAATTATTAACTAGATGAAGAATTTAGTAATTTTCGAAATCAAAAGTCTTGTTATTTAAAAAATTTTTAAAGTTTTTTTTCTTCTCAAATCAAATTCTAGAATTGGCAACACTTGTATATACATTTGAAATTTGTAATGGCAGCGTCCATGAAGTTAATTTGACGGCATTGTAAAAGCTCATATATGTTAGAAAATGATCGCATTTGTTCGTGTTATGCTTCAAAGAAGCTTTCATTCAAAACTTTTAAGGTATAATTGGACGTGCACGTTATGAAAATAACATTTATAATATAAATTATGAAATAAATAATCGTTAATTTCATTATTTATGTATTGAGTTGGTATAAAGTTTACCTACGTGCACCGTCGTGGCCATACAGTGGGGACCTACGTTCTAACCTAACCTATTCTAATAAATTATTCCTCAATTATATGCTGAAAACACTGTAATCTCTCAAAATTATGCAAATCCTATAGGTGGTCTATCAGACCCCATAAAAAGTTTTAGGCGTTACTACTAAAAGAAAATAAAATCTACGGTTAATCTTTACCTACATGCACTGTCATGGCTGCAGTCCTGACAGACTCCTCTGGAGGGGAGCCGCTGGCAGGTCACCAAGTGCCTAACATCACTAGTTATTGATTCATGGTAGTTCCTAAACAAAAGAAAAAAAAAAGGAACCATCTACAAAAAATATAGTTAATCTGAACTAACCTAACTGAAGCAAACAGTCATGACCGCCACCATGATGGCACATATAGGTAAAGATTGACCAAATCTAATTATAATTTTTTTTTCTGTGCAATCATTCATTACTATTTAAATATTTTATAGTCATTAGTGATGTAGAAGTTTAACTCAATTATTTAAAATTGATTAATATTGTAAACTTGTGAAATTTTGCATATTTCGCAAGTTTACACAGATTTTTTAAAACTGCTTTTCTATTTATTTTTGTATACCGGTGTTCTAGAAAGAAAACAGTCAGTCATCAAGAAATAAAAAATAAATAAGAATGACAGATGTTGAAAGATAAATAATCATAAATTCATAAAATGATAAATGAAAATATATCTGTAATTTATGTTTTAATCAAGCAGCAGGTATTTGAGATAAAAAATTCCTTAATAAACAAAATATTAATTAATTTTAGATATTAAAAAGTAAATTAGCAAAGTAACACTCTTTCAAACAAGACTAGAGTCAGTCTCACAGACTGCTTGCTGACTTCTAATTGATCTTATAAATCACAAGTAGGACATATAAAGATAATGCACTCACCAGTCATATATACTTGGCGGGAAAGATTTTTAAGTGGTGGTAGAGAGCATGGAAAATTAATTGAAAAATTACTGAGGTCTGACTGATGTATGATAGTACTTAAGGATTAAAAGTATGAATTTATTTGGAGAGAGATTTTTATTTTAACAATACTAATCTAGGGCTTCACAATATCACATAGGTTATTCTATATAAAGCTGCGATACTAAACATGTTACATAGAAAATTCTTAAAAACGTATATATGTACATAGTCCACAAACATAAAAATAGTTTGTTTTTTTAGTTATTCCTAGTGATGGGCAATAGTAGAAATGTAAACAATCATTAACAACATTGAATGGGCAATTCTATCAAATTATTTGCAATATTATCAAATATTTTTAAAACAGTAACAAGAGTTATTTCCACTTTTCATATACTGTTTTCAAATATTAAAACTAATTTTTACCATTATTGATGTGAAAATTCAATAAATAATGACTTTTTCTACTCTTTTTGGCTGAAATTAATTCCTTCCACCCATTCTTAAGTACTTCAACACAAATTTAGTTATACACTCCAGACTCATACCTTTATATTTCTCCCAAAAATCTAATGGATTTTTTGTCTTTCTACTACAGTAATAGTGTATGCAAATACTGACAAAGACAGGAGTTTATTCTTCCTCTATTACTACAGCTGGTCCTCTTAGGTGCAACCTGATGGTTCTAGTTGATAGTGGATACAAACTATTGCAGTTGCATCATTTGATATTTCATAGTCAAATACACAACTTGTTTTAAAGTATCACTATTACAATACTAATGCTTATCACTAGTTATGCCTTGGCCTGGCTTAGCATTAGGCACTGGTATATTGTGTAAGCCAAATAGGATACAATCTATTGATGTTAGTGGATTATATCCTATTACCAAAATAAATAATTATTCATAAATGTAGATAAATATCACTAAATGTTTTTAAAATAGGTAGTTTTCCTAGGGTGAGGTAATTTCTTGACTGAGTGTTCCTTTTTAAAAATTATGTAATAATGTCTATATATGTCAATATGTAAATTAGAAAATCAATATTTATTTCAAAAATATATAAATTTTGTTATGTGTTTCAGAAATATATAATTTTTAATAAATGAAAACTATCTTCTATATTTTGAACTATTTTGATATTTTGTGAAGTTCAGTAAAATGAATTTATTAAAATTTTGATTAATTATTAAACTGTTTGTTTTAACAGTTTAATAATTAATCAAAATATTCCTATAAGTCTATAGAGTTACCTGTATGTTTATCTCTAAAACATTTAAGTTAATATTTTGTATTATTTAATAAATCATATTTATTTTGATATATTTACAGGAATATTATAAAATGTAACTCACTGAAATTGTCATCTTATAAAATTAGTTGTAAATTAATTGAAGAGTTGAATAAACGTGAAATGATTCAAGAAATCCATCCTGACGATTGGTAACATTATTTATTTTATAAACTGTAAATCAATTTTTATGCATACTTATTGATTTTTATGACTTTGAAATTTGTTTTGAATTATATTTTATGATAATTTCATTTTATTTCTTTTAGTTCCGAACTTGTTCAACTTTTGAATTCTAATCAAACAGTATATGCAGGATTTGATCCAACAGCAGATAGTCTTCATGTTGGCAATCTTCTTGTGATTATTGCATTGTTACATTGGCAACAAGCAGGCCATAATGTTATTGCTATTGTAAGTAAAACTATCATTTTGTTTGTCATTTTTTTAATAATGATGACAATAATTTTTTATAAACCTTGATTTTAATAGTTTAATAATCAGGCTGATTAAGTTTATAATTAATTTAGATTATCTGTTTTAATACTAATGAATAGTTTATATTTTATTGGTTAGGTTGGAGATTCTACTGCACAAATTGGAGATCCAAGTGGAAAAACAAAGGAAAGAGAAGTACTTAAAGAAGATTTAATTAAATCAAATAGTGAAAGCATAAAACAAAGTCTAGAAAGAATATTTGATAATTTTAAAAAATATTTTTGCAAAAAAAATATTGCACCTGCTAGGTATGATATATTATTTAATTCTTTCTCATTTGTTCAGTAGTTTTTTTAATTTTTTTAACACTATTTATAATTGCAAGTTTTACAAACCATCATTATTTAATTAGTCAATTTGTACTTGATTCTCTCTTGTTCTCATATTAATTGTTAGGAGTAAACAAAAGATTGCTTGAGAGAACGAATCACACAGGAATACACAATGAAACTAGATATATACAGGTTTTATTAATTCTGGAGGATGTGCATTTTGTACTGTATGTCCCTCATCAGTCCTCTTTATTTTACATCAGGCTGGTTATAGAAGCATTACAAAATTTCAGTTACAGTTAAAAATATACATAAAGTTATAATGAATACAATATAGCCTGGATGGCAGAGGTTTCATGTGTATTATGGTTATTATAGTGGCAACTGGATCTTAATTTACTGTATCCTGTACATTATAAAAGGGGAAATATGGTAAAATTCTCTTCAAACAATAAAAGTTAAAGGTTGATATAAGGAAATGTGTATATTCTAAAAAGAAATAAAATTTACTAAAATTGGAAATTAGAATTATGAACAGTTTAATGAGTTTTCATACTTTTATGAAAACCTTCTTTTTAATTAAAGAAGAAATTCAACTAAATTTGATGATTTTGTTTTTTGTTTTGTTTATTTTACTGTTTCATTCATTATAGTTTTTTCAATAAACAGTTTATAATACCAAATGATCTGCGAGATTATACCAGACTATAATATGATTGCTGCTTAATAATTAAATCTTAAGTAATTTTGCCTAGATGTATAGTCCAATATAATCTGGCAAATTGTTTAGCTTTAATTGAATATCAAGTTATTGGATGTTTGTTTTTGTAAACAGTTTATAAATTTACAAATGTTTGGATTGTCATATAAATTTTTTATTTCATTTCTATATTAATGTTATTTATGTTATCATTTCTAGAAATGAAAAATTAGTCTCCTGTGTCAATGAATAAATTTATCATCGTTTTCAAAAGTACATAATTCATTTAATAATTTTTGTATATATCAACATTATCTTCTTCATTTTTGAATAATCTCTTATTTTATTTATATTCTATGCTTTTAGATGAATCCATTTTAATTAGTCCAGGATTTGATTAAAATAGATTCATCTATCTACTTTTTATATCTGTTACAACAGATTGCGTAACATCAGTTAATTTAATTATGATATCAATATTTATAATTTTGGTAGGAATGAAAGAAATATAAATATAATAATGTAAGTTATAAAACTAAGTTTACTATCAAGTATAAAGAGAAAGAAAAGTTTTAATTAATAAGTTTTCAACATACAATAAATATAAGTTTTCATTTTTCTCTTTATACATCTTTGAATATCTAAGATATTTTTGACTATTTTTTTATGTAAGTGTTTGTTCAATGTCTTCTCCTGTATGTAAGCAATTATAAGATTTTCTTTTAACCCATATATTCTCAAATATATGTATAATACTTGAATATTCCTTTCAGTAAATATATTAATTGATTTTAGATCAGTTGAAGTCAAACAGCACATTGTTTAATACAGTCTTTTTTTAACAATAAATCTTTTATTATTTTTTAATATTTTAAGTCAATAGTTTGTTGTTATAAGTATATTATTTTGAAAGAAAATTTGAATTATATTTACTTTTCATATTTTTAGGATTATTTACAATAGTTCTTGGTATAAAAATGAAGATATAACTAACTTTTTGAGTAGAGTTGGTCGAAAATTGAGAGTAGGACAAATGCTTTCTAGAAAAAGGTAATAATAGTTTATATGAAATCTAGTTGGAAAACAATCAGTATTTTAATTGATGATGATAATTTTAATCAGCATAAAATCAAGACTTGAAAGCAGTGAAGGAATGAATTTTGCTGAATTTACATACCAGGTTTTTCAATCTTATGATTGGCTCTACCTCTTTGATAAATATAATTGTAGAATTCAGGTAAACTATTCATGAATTAATACTGTACATCAATATATGAAGTTAAAAATTGTTACAAATTAAATTTAACTATGTCAAATATATGCAATTGTATAGTAATTTTATACAGAACAATTACATTTAATTTCCATTGGTTTCATTTACTAATACTTTTCAAATTTTTGATTTCTAAGTTATTTTCTTCTCATTATAAATAATTCAATTGATAGAACTACATTGAATTATTTGCATTGATAGCATACATTCAATATTAAAATTTATTAATTATTTATTAAAATGCACAGTTTGATTTGAATGTTAGTTTTAAAATATTTAATTTCTTGATATTTTTAATACATAAAATTCAATCTTATGAAGAATTATATTTTAAATTTAAAACTTTTTAATAGTCTTTCATTATTCTTATGCATTTTCTATACATTATTTTATCTATACTATAATTTAAATATTTGTTTTATTATTTTACTGTAGATTGGTGGAAGTGATCAACTTGCAAATATAGATTTAGGACACGATTTATTAAAACGTACACGAAATGTTAATTCTTATGGTAAATGTTCATTTAATCTTTTTCTATAATACAGTAATTTTAATTTAATATTTATTTATAAGTCTAAACAAAGATGAATAAGTATTGTAATTGTTAACTAGATTTAGTAAATTAAAATTTAGGTAAAATTCATGATTTTTGTTTTGATATTGATATTTTTGTTTTGAGTCTGAATATCTGATGACCTTAGAAACATTGTGTTTATTGTATAAGTAATCTTCAGCTCTTTGATTGGAATAAATCTCTCAATATTTTCTTTAGAAGTGTGAAAAGAAGAGTTTTGAATTTTCATTGTGTGATAAAGTGACAGATATTTTAGTGTTTTCTAATGAAACTTCTGTAAGGTAATCTTAGTTGCATTGATCTTATGCTGATTTACATTAGAATAGATAACATGCTGCAATAGTAGAACTTATATTTTCACTTTATTATTTGGTGTAGTTTTGATATGAGAAAAACACTAATATATTTTGAAACATTATATCAGTGTTTTTCAACTGGTCCATGACTAGTGCTGATCTGCATAAAAATTTCACTGGCTCACAGAAAAATATTTTACCATACTGTCACTGGTGCAGTTGATTACAGCTGACATTTAAATAGTAATCTGGAGTTACTATATGTACTTTGTTAAATATGGTAATTCTAGATAAGCATAGTCCCATATAATTATAGTCTACATCCACAGTCATATATAATTACAGACCCACTTAAAATTAGCCATAACTTTACTGGTCTACAATGAGAGAAAGATTGAGAAACAGTGCATTATAGTACAGAATTGATTCTTAAAACACATATATAAACTTTATCAAGATTAATCCACAATTTAATAAATATTAATTTTTTCATTTCATTCAACTCTGTGAAATGTTTGTTTTCTTACAGAAGTGTAGAAAATATTATTTTATAAATGATGCAACTTCTAGACTTCTGTAAAAAAAAAAAAAAATGCATTATGCAAAGTATTTAAGTAATACTTTGCATAATGCATTTTTTTTTTAACTTAGAAATGAAAATTAGCATTTTTCTATCTGCAATTATTTGTATTCTTAATTATTATGATTAGGATGAGATTTCTGTATTGCTTGTTTTTGCTTTACAGTTGGATACTAATGATTCTATTATTTTTCCTTTCTAGCAGTTTCTTGATATACTTATTGTCTTATTGACAAGCCAGACAACTTCATATATTTAATTTGCAACTTATGAAACATGTCAGAAGTTACAAATTAAAGTTTAGATGTTTCAGATTTAATAGCTGTGATTCTTGTGATCATTAGAAAAGTATTTCATCATCCATTGTCACAAAATTGCTTTTTAAATTAAATGATGTTTATACATGTCTTTAAATGACTACTGTATTTTTGTATGTATAATCCACAATGGCATATATACACTGCAAAAAATTGCTAGAATAAAAATAAAACAATATATTCTGTGCCTCTGGGGCTAGCAAATTTGTAATTACAATTTACAATCAGCATATATCCATATAATCCATACCCAAACAAAATATTTTTAAATATGCATGAAAATACTGGTTTTATTTTTAGGAATGAAACATCATTAATTAATTAAGTCCTTAGTTTTCAAATTTGGGAAAGCCATAATTATTCTGTCCTTCCTTACAATAGTTACAATAGTCAAATATATAATATAAGGTAAGACCAAATTTTATAGTTAGTCAGAAATATAAATTTCCAGATTATTTTTGGGCTTTAGTTTGATTAATTAATCAATATAATGTGGGCTTAATAGGAGATTAGACCACCACATTAAATTTAATTTCAAACTTTTAGCACAAGGCAGCAGTCTACCTGCTTACGTTTAGGCCAAATTATGTTCTTTAGTTAATTTACAGTATAACTTAAATATACTTAAAACTTAATAACTTAAAACTTATTTAGTATTTAGATTTCTGATTAAAATTTAAATTTAAATAAGAAGTCATATCTTCTTAAACACGATTAAATCATTCTTTTTTATTTATTTTGACCAAATTTAATATTCAGCTTTGTTTAATTTGTTAACAGTTAATTTATTAAAATTTTTTAACACTACGATATTTATAGAATTATAATAAATTTATAGGCTTAACTGTTCCATTGATCACTGCTGAATCGGGTGGAAAATTTGGTAAATCAGAAGGGAATGCTGTATGGCTCAATGAAGATAAAACAAGTGCTTTTGACTTCTATCAAGTGAGTAAATAATTAATGTAATACTGTAGAGAATTAAATTAATAACATATTTATCAGAAACCAAGGTAGCCCTTTTAGCATTAAAGCTTACTTTGAAGTACAGTTTTAAAGATGGAAGAAAATATTATTTTGAAAATTTGTTTATATATCTTTCTATAATCTATGAATAGTTCAGACTAAGATAGTTTCAAAATTTTTAGTCAGTTTTAGAAATCTAATTTACCTGATTTAATATAGATTAATCAAAGGATTGATTTTAATGAATGAAGATTAAGATCAATTTATGTTTCTGTATAATTCAATAGTTTATGACATCATAAGTACAGTACATTGAATTGTAGACTAATCATGATAACCACATAAATAATTGAGGGCAGAATAAATAATCAAATAAATGTGTAGTGTGTTGGCTATTTCTTGTAATACATTTATAACTGACATGCACAGTTTTCTTATATGATCCTTATATAAATTTAAGTCACAGTTTGTGATTTAAATTTCAGTAATGTATTGTTGTCAAACAAATTTGTTTGATAAGTCTTACAAATGATTATCATAGAAGTGAATTTTAGTACAGCTGTCCCTTGATAGTCCGACGTTTTTAATCTGACATGCTCAGTAGTCTGATGCACCTCTTGTCAAGGTACCTGTCCCCGTTATATGTCTGCTTGCACAGAAGCATATCGTGACGTGAATCTCCCCATCCAATTCTTACACGATGACACACATTTCATGTGTTTTCCGTGAGCAGTTCTGTTCGAACAGTTGGAGTAGGGATAGACTACTGCTAGCAAAACAATGCCAAATATGTAATCACTTTCAGTAATCCGGACACTTTTGGTAATCCGACACCCCTTTGGTCCCATACCTGTTGGATTATCAAGAGAGAGCTGTAATTATTTCATTGATTAAAATAATTGCTAAAATAAATTGTTTTAAATCATAAATTTGCAATGTATTTTGTTTAATTTTTTTGAAAAATAACTAAAGTTGAAAAAACTTTTACTCCTAAGTTCTTACAAAATTTATGTATTAATCAGAATTGTACTGAACAATTTTGGCACTCAGGCAAATCTCATACCTGGCACCCCTGATTCAATGTTAATTACAAAAAAATTTTATAGGTTTATTCTGCACTTGCTCACTTTTGCTCCCATAGTTATGCCACTAGTAATAATGTGATTAATAATTAATAAGTTTTACAATAAAAAATTATCAGAAAAATAAATGATACATTTTATAAGTGAGTCTTTTTATATATAGTGATATTGAACAGCAAATAAATTTAAATAAGAAAGAAATTAAGAAGAAAATACAAATTTTGTAAGCATTTTTCATTTATTTAATTTACTATAAAACGTTAAACCCCTACTCTGCAACTACCAATTAGTCTTTTAGAGGAGTTTCTTATATTTAATTTTTATCACTTGTCTTTTAGAGGGGTTTCTTATATTTAATTTTTATCACTTGTCAAAATAACAGAGAAATATAAGACTGGCATGAGTTTAGTTTCTCATTTAAAGTATAGTGTATTTCTGACAAAATACTGTAGAGCCCCACAATTCAACTTAATGTGGACTGAGAAGGTGACAGGTTACCGAAAATTTCAAGTTTTATGGCACAGTAATGATACTAATCTAAATAGTGGAATTTTCATAAAGGTTTTTATATATGCAAATTCATATATGTATTAACTATGTACTAATAGTGACTATTTCTATTTATGGTTAAATTTTAAATAGAAAATTTATTGGTTTTTCAGTGGCTTTTTTAAAGTTAGTGACATTCTTGTTGTGTTTTATAGTGGCACTTTGATAAAGGGTTACATTTTTTGTTAACATATAGAATCGATGCTATTATCAAGTGTCATCAGTGAATAACATTATTTTATCCTAGTTTTTAAGTTGTAGAAATAAAAATTAGATTACTTTTTTTAAATATCATGACAAGTTTTATGGAATGTTGAATTTTCAAGAGTTGAATTTCCAGGACTGTAAGAAGGAAAGGTTATAAAAAAGATTTTAGTTAGTTACTGAAATAACAACATAATTTCTTTGACACAACTGATTAAAAACAATACATCTGCAACCCACATTAACTGTACTAATGTCATATTACAAGTGATAGTTTTTAAAAATTTTTGCCCTACTTCTAAATCAGAAGAGCAATAAGTTGGAACATATAGCATTTATTTATTAGAATGCAATTTTCAAATTGCAAACCTATATATTCCCACTGTCATCTGTACATCTGTCCTTCATTAATCTGGAGAATGGAGTTAGACCTATAGAAAGCTGAAGCCAGAGGCTTAATAGAATAAATAATAGTTAATAATTTTTAAAAATAAAATTATGATTAAAAATTGCACCCAAGCATTGCAATATCAATAATATACAATCAATTTTTGATTATTAGTTGACACAAAGATATTTATAGATATCAATACTTTTTAAAGTTTTAAATAAAAATTAATTTTTTATTCGTTTCATATTATACGTGACAATATATCGAATATTTAAATATTGTGAAAAGAACTAAAATATTCATCAATTTCTTAAAATATGATGATTTTTTAGTTCTTTTTGCACTAGAGAGAAACCAAATTTTATTAAAATCCTTTTAATTAGGATTATGCTAATTAATGCAGTTTCTATTTTGTTAGAAAATTATATAAATTAATATAATTGCTATTTTTTATGCTGTTTTTTATAATATGCAAATTCATATATTTAAATAATTAAATTTATATCAATTAAAAGTTTTATATAATTATTTTAAAAGTGTTTCTATGATAAATAAATATAAAATTATTATTATTTTAGTTTTTTATGCGTCTACCGGATACTTCTATTCAGAGATATTTAAAGTTATTTACATTTTATTCTTTATCTGAAGTTGAATCAATTATGCAGAAACATATGGTAAAAAATAATTTTTATATTTTTACTTAATGTATAGATTTTACTTATTATTTTAAATAAAATATTAATAAATTTCCATATAAAAAATATTTAGGAGCAATTTTTAAAAGAATTAATTTTTATTATTTATATCAAGGAATTATGGATATAAAGTAGAAGGATATCATAATTATGTTTCTGTTTCATTTACTCTTCTCAGGATTAAAATGAAATTTGAAATTTCACAACAAATTTCATTATACAGTAGAGCATCGATTATCCGACCCCAATTAACCGACTGTTCTAGTCAGCAAACTCAAATGTTTGCTAGTGATGTGGCACTACAGTATTTGGCTATGTCTTGGCTACTTTAATAGTATTTTTATGTGTTTTAGCTGGCAACATGGCTCGACCATGAAAGGGAGCCAGTATTTAAACGAGGCTTAATTTTCTAATTTTTAACGATACTATAGTGATGATTATTATTTTAAAAAAATTTTTGTTAGGCTTAACATCGATGAAAATTCAACACAAAGTAGGTTAATAGCAATATACTAATATACTAATTACATGGGATATACTAATATACTGTACTAATAACGTATTTCTTCATATTTTTCGTTTATCCGTTTTTTTCAGTTATCCGACCAACCCCAGTCCCCAATTCAGTCGGATAATCGATGCTCTACTGTAATTTAATTTAACTAAAGTAATTAAACTTTATTAACTGAAACGATGAAAATAACTAATAAAAATTTACAAGCATCTCTTTCATGAAATCTTTTAACTTTTAATTTTATTTTAATTTTATGGATCATATTTTCATGACTCATCAAATTATCATAAAAATAATCTAGAAATTATTTATGATTAACAAATATAAATGTAAAAATTTAATATTAAATGTTATTTGCCAGTTCAAAAGCATAAATTCATTTTTTTCTGTTCAGAATAATTTAGCATGTTGATGTATTTATCAATTGCTCAATGTTTCTTAGACATGATCATTACTATTAAGCATTTTATTTAGCCTATGAGACATGCTAAATTATTCTTTCATATTTTATAATAGGTATATTTTCTGACAAAAATCCTTTTCAATTTTTTATAATGTTATTTTAATTATTTAATAGACTTAATTTTTCTGGAATTTCAATTATTTTAGGATTATTCTGTAATTATAATTTGTGTTGAATGATGTGGCTAGATTTGTTATACAAAACATAAGTTATATATACTAAATAGATCAACTAAACATTTAATAAAATTTTAAAAATAATTATTTCATTGCATTTATATTATATTAATTGTATATAAGAACTGATGGTGTATTTTAATCACTTAGACAGATATAAAAGACATGATATACATCTTTTTAATTCATGAAATTACACTTCTATTTCAAAAGTCAAAATAATCAGTATAAAATGAAAACAGTTGTGCATAATATAATTTTGCATGTGAAAAAGTCTATCATTAATAGATTTTTTCATATTAACATAGATCTTTACAAAATTATATTGATGTTTTGATGATTTAAAATCTTTGTATTTAAATGAAAAGTGTTATTACTCATAATCAATCCTAATGTTAACAAAACAAAATTTTGATAAAATTTACTTATAAAATATTTTAAAAATGCAGTTAATTGCCATGCCTTCTTATTAGTTTATATTCTAATAATTTGTAAATTACACATTATCAAAATATATAAATATATTTGATTGTAAAAGTTCAGATTAGTAATCAGTTTGCATATATATTAAGGGTGAAAGTTTGATCATAAATTAATTATGAAATAAATAAATATTAAGCACTAATTTACATAAATCTTTTTTGAAATTTTAGGAAAAGCCAGAAAATTGGTATGCACAGAAAAGGCTTGCTGAAAATGTTACCAGATTAATACATGGAGGTATGTAATTTCAATGCTTTTATAGATTACATTTTTTTTCAACTATTGTAAATTTTTATTTATATTTTAGAGACAGGCTTGAGATTAGCAAAACTAGCAACTGATGTTTTATATAACAATTCATTCAAATCTTTAAATGAATTAAATGAATCTGAGATGAAGCAAATTTTTAAACAAGTACCATCAATTGAACTTTTATTAGAACCGGGAATCACATTAATTGATTTAGCAATGAAAGCAAAATGTTTTGGATCATTGAGTAAGTTCAGTTAAATTTATTTTATTATGATTTATAATATAATACAACATTATATTTTTATGATTAGAGGATGCAAACAGAATAATTAGTGCTGGTGGAATGTATGTAAACAACCAAAAAGTAACCACACCTAATTATGTAATTGTGGATGGACAACATATTCTTAATAGTGGATTAACTTTGTTGAGGACAGGTGTGTATTTATCAATTAATTTCATATTTCACTTCTTTTCAGCAGTTTTAACATTTATATGATATGATTAATTCTAACAGTGTAAACTTAAAAGAAATTAAACTGTTTTTCATAAGTTATCATTCATTAAATTTTATTCAGAAATGAAAAGAAAGTAAATTTAAATGACATACTATCATGTTTAAATATTTGTTATGAATATCATAACAATACAGGTTTGTTGAAATATTGAATAGATAAAAACAAATTAATAATATATAATATTGTATAATGATAATTTGTAAGTCAAAATGTTAAATATTAATAATTAAGAATTTATTTTGCATTTGTAATATGCATACAATATACAGATTTTTTTTATTTTTTAATAAATACAATTATTCAAATATTTTATAATATATATAATAATTTTATGAGATCTAATATCTAACAATATGTAATTGTATCAATAATTATAACGTGAATTTGGTTATAATATCAAACTTTTGAGATTTTTTTCAATAAAATGAATAGAAATGATATTTTAAACATGAAGAGAAATATTATGATAATGATAACAAAGAAACATCTTAAATTCACACAAGATATAAAAATTACAGAGATGATAAAATTATTATTTAATATTAAAGAATTTCCTATATGTCCTAGCATGTTAATTTTGTTCTCTTAAAAAGTGTTCTCTGCTTATGTGCATTATCTGACATTTCACTCTCATTCTGTTTGTTGTTTAAATTTTCAAATAAATATGGAACTTAAACATTTTCTTGAGTATTTAAAATTGCAATCAATTGGAAGAATTGAAGCTGGATGGTCACAAACAGAGGTTATCAGATGGTTAAATTTTAGCTGTTCTGTCATTTACAGACTTTTGAATCATTAGAGAAACTGAGTCAGTATTCAGAAGACCACCCAAGAGCAATAACAAACAAAGAGAGCTATCTTCTCCTAGCAGGCTGGATACATGACAACAATGCCCCAACTGCAATCTGATCTCAGAAGTGCTATAGGAACTGTGATGACTTCTACCATTAGTTGAATGTTTCTTGAGGGTGATGTTTATACTAGGAGACCAGTGGTCTGTGTGCTTCTCACTCCATGCTACAGACAGGAACATCTAAATTGGTGCAAATTCATATAAACTAGACCCAGGTTTGTTCATTTTACAAATGAGTCCAAATGAAATGCTTTTCAGAGTGATTCTAGACACACTGTACTTTGGAAAGGAGATATGGTGTTATTGTTACATCATCATGAATGGTAACACAAATCTCTATGTGATTTCATCTAGCAACCTAACAGGTCAGAGGCATAGGGATGAAATCCTGGATCAGTTTGTGAGATCATATTCAGGTACAATTGGGATGCAGTTCATTCTACAGGATGCCCATCCTCACAGAGAAAAAATTGTGGATAAAATCTTAAGACACATACCATAATCTATAATGAGTGGCCAGCACATTCTCCCAATCTCACTTCTGCAGAGCACATTTGCAATGCTCTAAAGAGACATGTTTCATTCCTTTAACTCACTCCTTAGAATCTCCAAGGACTCCAACTGGCCTTACTATGAGAATGGGAAAAAAATATTTAATTTTCTTTGATCAGTTGCCTCATAAACAGTATGTAGCAATGCATTGTTATAAAACAGGAGTTCTTAAACTTTTTCCATTCATGACCTCTTTTTGCCTAAGAACATTTTATGCAACCCTTGTTATATAAATATGTAGATACATAAATAAATATACAAATAAAACATTAACCAGTAATAAGTAATAATAACAAATAATAAAGAATTGTTTGGAACTAAATTTATTTAGTTCCAAACAATTCTTTATTATTTGTTATTATTACTTATTTTTACTGGTTAATGTTTTATTTGTATATTTGTAAGTATAACAAAGAATTGTTATACTTAAAATTTTCCACTTATTCTATTTATTAGAATAAAAGCAAATTTGCATGCTAATGAGATGGATATGCTTGTTTATTTTTGCATAAAGAGTTAAATCTTGGCCGAGTATTTGATACTGCAGGACACAGGACAACTTCACCATTTCTCAGAGTTGATTAATATTTTGATTTTGCAATTGTGAGTAGGCTCTGAGGTATAACGAAGTCGTACCTCTTTTTGTTGGCAACAATTTGGTGAAAACTGCCCACTTGTCAGTGGATGGCTTGTCTATTTTTACTATCTCGAAGGGTCAGGTCAAGTGGAGGAGTTGAGAGAGATCGTCAGTAAGGCATCAGCGATACTCAAGTAAATGACACCATTTAACAATAAAACAAAATTTTATTAGACAACGACTTAGATAACATAACTAACATCGAGATTTGATCCACATTACATGTGGATGTGGGGGGTGCGTGCCGAGAGAGAGTTTACAATACTCATTATCATACCTCTAAAGTTGCTTGTACAGAACGATGTAATGGAGATCGAGAAAGATTCATCATGGGTTGGTGGAATTTTGTCTGGACTTGTCCTGGCGACCACAAAATCTTTTTCTCTGGCCTTTGATTCTTCCTTTGTCCCGGTGTGTGCTCTATTTATCTTCCTGATGACATTATCATTTTTCTCCAATTGTGAAGTTCGCAACTGTCATTTTCGAGTTCTGGAAGGAAAGGAAGTTACTCCGGGGAAGGAAGTGTGTTCGTCCTCCGGTTACAAAATTCGACAATATTTCGAAAGAGGGGGGAAATGGAAGATTTTTTTTTTTTCATTTTTTTTATTTGTTCCAACCCTCACACAGTTGTCAATGATGAAAACAAAAAAGGCTGTAATAAATATAGTAAAAAGCATAATGTATAATAATTGTATAATAATGATTGTATAATAATGAAAATTTAAATAATACTGTTCTATCTGTTTCACCACATAAGGTTAAGAATAAAGATTTTAAGTATGAATTTTGTCTCAGGAATTGAAAGAATTGATTTCCCAAAGTTTGACACTAATTGAAACAAATGAAAGTGGCTTCAGTTCATTATCTCAGGAAATAAATATATATGAAGCCTCAGGTAAAAATACTCAAAAATGCTTTATCTAAATATATAAAATTACTTGTCCTGACTGCCTGACTGACTGAGTGAGTATTGATTTATCATTGCCCAGAGCAAACCGCTGAACCTAAAGAGGTGAAATTTTGAACACAGGGTATGTCATGAAAATGCACACTAAGAAGGGATTTTTCAAAATCCCTTCCTCAGGTAGAGGGAAAGGATTAAGGCTTAACCTGAAGAACGGCTTCTACTGTACTATTTTAGATGCGATTTTTTGTTTTCAACTATGTTTAGTCTTTATTGAGTACTTAGGTGTATTAAATTGATAACATTTCAGACATTGTTATAAATATTTTTATATATTTTGATTTTTTAACCAAATGATCAGATTGTTTTAAATTCGAATTTGTTATTGCATATTGGTTGATTATAGAACGATTGTAAACGTTCCAGAAAATGATCAAATTGAAAATAGTTTGTTTGATTCTTAGCAATTCTCATCATTCTCAGTGGTAGGTGTTATATAACAATTTCTACAGTTGTTGAAATACTTAATATAAATGGGGTTTGCTTGCAAAACCCCTGCAGGCGAAGTCATGGGTAACAGCTAGTGTTGCATAAAACATAAAATGAAGGAAATTTCTTCATTTCTGGAATTTTTATTCCAGAAATGAATATTTTTTTTATTCATTTTTATGTCAAAACAAGGACCTGTTTGTCAGATAAATCAATAGACTATTGAAAAGTTATTTTAATAAAAATTTTAGTAAATGTAGAAACGAATACAATTAACTTTTAATATGTTTAAAAAAATTAAGTAAAGGTAAATACAAGACAATCTTTTTAACTTCTAGTCTTACTTTGTGAGATTTTTTTCTGCATCATTTTTTTCTAATTGATAGAAGTCTTTTATAAGTAATCAATTTCTTTTTAATCTCAAGAATCCAAAAAGTTTTGGAAAACACAAATCCATAATCACAATATACAAGCAAAGAATGTACAAATTTTATACTTGTGTGCTAAGAGATGACAGCAAGAAAACATTAAAATTTTTATTTTTGGCAATTATATTGATACTATAATGTTTTTTAAGTGCACAAAACTTTGCTGACCCTTTTGTTTGCATTTGTTTTTTTTTTTGTTTCCAAAAATGAGAAGCCAATAATATAACCTTGCATGGGACACATGAAAAGCTAGTTATGGCTTTTACCTATCAGTAGTATGCGTTTGATACATTCTGAAGTACAAAAATTAATTAGTATATGTATATAACTCAATGTTTAAAAAAAATTTTTTTTATAAATTTTTTAAAATTTTATAAAAAAAAATTTTTTTGAATTAATAAAAATTTTTTGAATTATATCGATACAGTAAAGATTATATTTAATTTGTATAAGAATTACCGATGTCAGACATGATGAGTTAAGTTCTTAGTCGATGAGTGAAGTTCTCGGTAGAAAAGTTGGTTGATGAGTGAAGTTCTCAGTAGAAAGGTTGGTCGATGACTGAAGTTCTGGAAAAAATTCACCCGCTTTTATCCTCAGCTACTTCTTTGTCCTGTCTTCGAAGAGTTATTATCTAGGTCGTGGGAATGCAGCTGGTCTTTTAACTGGGGACAGCTGTGTTTTTTTTTTTTTCTAACTACGGTGCATAGGCTGTTTTTTTTTATCTGCTTCATAATATACGTTTTGTTCTTTTAAGAAAAATATGATTGGTTGTTAGTTTTTTTTTAAAGAAGATGTGATTGGTTAGTATTTTATATAAGTTAATTTTTTTAAAAAAAGAGAATTAGTTTTATATTTAAGCTGCAATCATGGGGATGTACGGTTTTCTGGTTACTTACGGAGACTATAAAATATACTCATCTTCTTCAATTCTGTACCGTACTTTGGACGCTTGCGTTTCCGCGGTAAAAAATTTCTCGTTTGATGTTCCTGATAATTTTCCATTTATCCTCCGCTATTTCAAAGTCAAAGATATTTGGAAAGGAGAAGGAAAATACGGTTTTATAATTGTTGGTGAGGATGGAGGAATTAACGAAGTATGTAATGGATTATACGGTTCGTTCGAACGGTGTGCGGAAGATATGAGAGAAATATGTTTAGAAAATGATAAGAAAACTTTAGTAGTGTTTAAAGAGATAAGTCCAGGAATGAAATATTATAAATTTTCTAAATTTTCTAAGGGTAAGAAAGCTGATTAATATGTATTTCAAACATCCTAGTACTTGTGTAATTGCTGGTCCTTCCCAATCTGGAAAAACCACATTGGTGAGGAAAATGATTCACAACAAAATTTATGAAAATCCTCCGAAGAAGATTTTATGGTGTTACTCCGTATATTTACCGTTTTTTCAAGAAGAAAAGGATATTACATTTATGTACGGCTTACCCGAATCTGTTCAAGGATGGGATTTGATAATAATCGATGATCTGATGCATGAACTGTCTCCAAAAACAGCATTTTTGTTTACGACAGAATCTCATCACTGTAATGTAAGTGTGATTTTAATAATGCAAAATTTGTTTCCAAAAAATAAGATTATGAGAGATATAAGTTTAAATACACATTATCTGATTTTATTTAAAAATAATCGTGATGAGAGTCAGGTGAATTGTTTAGGTCGCCAAGCTTTTGCGGGAAAATTTAATTTTTTCATGGATGCATATAAAAAAGCGACAGAAAAGGATTTTGGTTATTTGTTATTAGATTTTCATCCTAAAACAGATAAGAAATTTTCTGTGAGAGATTCTTGTTTTCCAGACGAACGAGGTATTTTTTGGATTTACTTACCGATAAAATGAAAAACGTAAAGAAAAATTATCATATGCTAGCGCTTTTAGCGAAGACTACTCCTTCACAAAGGAAAGCCATATTAAAAGAAGCCACTCCCAATCAAGTGAAAGTATTGTGTGAAATTTGTGATAATTTGCGGAGAGGAAATATACCCACCGATGTTCGTAAATTACGAAAATATAAAAAAATTATCAGGAAATTAAGCGAAAAACGCGTTCCTTTAAATACCAAGAAAAAAATTTTGGTTAATCAATCTGGTGGATTCCTTCCTCTTCTACTGGCGCCGTTATTGTCTATGGCAGGAGGGTTAATCGGTAAAGTAATAGGAAAAAGAATCTAATGGCGAAGCAGATGGCCTTAGTTCCTCCCGAATTACTGATGAGTTATCAAAAGCCTGAAATAAGAATTGGTTCTAATATCGAAGAATTACTCGAGAGTACAAATTTACCTGATGACGATAAAGTCAAGTTATTAAGTCAATTGATTTCGAGATATCAGAGAACAGTTCACGCTCCTAAAGAACCTGTCAGAGTATCGGTCGTATCTAACCAAAATGAAGAAACAGAATCTCAACCGAAAGAAGAAACTGATGACGACGGATTTATGAAACAAATAATTTTATCGGTACCTCAATTATATCAAAAATATATACCTCATTTAATCGCTAAGTTGGATCAAAGTCATTACGGATGGAATTCTAAAGGTGAATTAACAATCGATGGAAAACCTGTTATCGGGAGTCATATAGTAGACTTAGTTTCGTATGTAATGAGAAATAGGAAAACTGCATTACCTCCCATTGGTTTCAAAGACTTTTTTGATGGCTTAAAGAAAATAAATATTCCTAAAGAGTGGATCGGAAACAAAAGTTTGGCGACATCATCATCGGTCGAAACTCCCGAAGAAATTTTCTCTCATCAGTCGAAAAAATCTAAGAGGAAGAGGAAGAAAAATCTCGAATGGAAAAACTTTTGAAATCAATATACTATAATCCTAAATCTCCGGCGTCTTTTGGTGGTGTGAGTAAATTAGTTAAAGAATCAAGTTTGCCGCGATCTGTTGTTAAAAAATGGCTGTCTTCTCAAGTAACTTATACGCTTCATAAACCTGTAAGAATTAAATATTCGCGACGAAAAACTATAAGTTTTTATCCTAACGACTTATGGCAGGCTGATTTAGTTGTATTAAAACAATTTTCTAGATTTAATAATGGAATAAAGTATTTACTAACTGTAATCGATGTATTTACTAAGTATTGTTATGTCGTACCGATAAAAGATAAAAAACCCCAATCGGTTTTTAAAGCTTTTCAAACGATTTTTAAAAAAAGAAACATTCCGAAAAATTTACAAACTGATAAAGGAAAAGAATTTTATAATAGATTAGTAAAAAATCTTTTTAAAAAATTTAAAATTAATCATTATTCGACTCATTCCGATACAAAAGCTGCTGTTGTTGAAAGATTAAATAAAACTTTGCGAAATAAAATATATAGATTATTTACTTATCGTAATTCTTATAAATATATCGATAAATTATCGGATATTGTGAAAAGTTATAATAATAGTTTTCATAGAAGTATCGGTATGTCGCCGTCAGAAGTTACACCTTTGCATCACAGCTCTATTTTCGAAAAGTTGTACGGTATAAAAGGACAGAACACGTTTAAATTTAATATTGGCGACCTCGTTCGAATTTCGAAAATACGTAAAACATTTAGTCGAGGATACCTACCGGGTTGGACGGAAGAAATATTTATTATTTACGATCGTTTTTCGTCTCATCCTCCGACGTATATATTGAAAGATTTAAATAACGAGATTTTGGAAGGAAGATTTTATACAGAAGAATTACAGAAGGTAACAAAATGATGCAGTCGGACTTTTTCGTCACTCTGATAAGCAACGCCAGCATGGAGTTATTTCCCGAAAATAAGCAGTCTCATTTCACCGTGAAAATGAGTCCACCTATTGATTTACGCGGGAAATGGGTAGTAGGTCTGAGCGAGGTTATTATTCCTAGATATTGGTTCAACATATCAAATCATAATAACGATTATACTATTACTAGACATAAAATTAGAAGAGAAAAAATAACTGATGTAACATGTGAGATTCCATTAACTACAGGCGATGAAAATGAAGGGACGCTTTTCCATTGGATAAACAAGAATATAGTTTCATTAACAGGATCTAAGTTGGCAGAATTTGTTTTAGACAAGGATTATAAAAATGTAAAACTAAATTTGGAAGAGGGATTCGAGTTGCGTATTTCGAGAGAAAAGGCTCATAAACTACTTTATTTTTTAAATTTACCAACCAAAGATATAGTATTTAAACAACGGAGTTCGAGTTTAATATTGCGAGATGAGAGTGAGGAATATCTATCAAATCCTAGATTTTATAAAGATCAATTTATAACTTTAATAGAAAGAGATAAAAAAGTTGTCGAGGAAATCGATGTAGAGGAAAAAATTTTTATTCCAATCGGGTTATATTCCTCTGTTGAAAAATTTCTTGGAATTTTTAAATATATTAAATTAGCATTACTACCTAATAACAAAATCGTTTTAAAAGTTCATAAAAATATAACAATTGAATTCGGAAACGAATTAAAAGATTTGTTAGGATTTAAAAAAAGCAAATTTTCCGAAGGCGAATATGTGAGCGACTATCCCATCGAATTATCTGCCGGAATTTCAGAAATTTTTATTTATTCGAATATCGTTGCTTCTCATCGTGTTGGGGATATAACCGCTCCACTTTTAAGGGTTATACCTGTAATGGGGGAAAAGTCAGATCAAATAGTTAGGGTCTACCAATCACCTCTATACCTTCCTTTACGACGTAATTATATAGATACAATTGAAATCGAGCTGAGAACTGCTAGTGGAAAAGAAATCGTCTTTTTTGGAGGAAAGACATTATTAGTTTTATCTTTTAAACAGATATAAATATCGTATATTTTATATATTAACGTTAGTTCGTCTTTGTGAAGTAGAAAATGAAGCTCGATCCCCGAGATTGTATAGATTATTACTGCAATCAAGCAGGAGGAACGGTACTGACACACGAGTTTCCATTATTTACACGACAATTTGGAAGAGGGACTTATTTTGCTGGACCGCAAATACAGAGAGGATACGGATTTTTCGGGGATTTATTTCGTAAATCTATTCCTATTCTTAGTAGAGTAGGAAAGTATCTAGGGGGTAAAGCTTTAAAATTTGCATCGAATGTCGGATCGGATGTAATTGGAGGGAAGTCGTTTAAAGAATCTACAAAAAATCGTTTTAAAGATGTGCGATCTGAAATTAAGGAAGACGTGCTTAAAAAAGTGCAGACAGGATCGGGTATAAAAAGAAAACGACGAAAAAGATTAACTCAGTCGGAAAAGAAGAAGAAGCGAAAACTTAACGATATTTTCGGTAATTAAGAAACGATGAATGTCCATTCGTGTGGCTGCACCAAATCCGAATTAGATTTGTTTAAGAATGTGGGAATCCAACTGGCTATCGACAATACGTATGAAGTCACTGCGCATCCCGTCGCTGCAATTAATGACAGTAGATCACCTATAGAATTTCTTATATCAGGATCGGGTGAGCATTATATGGATCTACATTCGATTTATCTATGTGTTCAAGCGAAAATCGTAAAGAAAGATGGATCAAACCTTGGGTCGGAAGAGAAAGTTACTCCTGTTAATTATTTTTTAAATAGTTTGTTTTCTCAGTGTACTGTGTATTTAAATGACAAATTAGTAATTACGCAGGTTAATTACCCGTATCGAGCTATATTAGATGCCTTGCTATTTAATTCGAAAGAAGTGCAAGAAACTTTTTTAACGAGCGCGTTATTTTTTAAAGATACTGCCGGACAAATGGATTCAATAAATCCGTTAGATGAAAATAATACTAACTACGGATTAGTTAAAAGATTTAACATCAGCAAAGGAAGTAGAATAATAGATTTAATGGGACGTCTTCATATCGATTTAGCGAACCAGCCTAAGCTTCTAACGAACAATGTAGACCTAAGAATTAAATTGGAGAGATCTAAAGAAAATTTTGCGCTAATGGCGGATAACGACAACTATAAAATTATTATTAAAAACGCCTCGCTAAAAATTAATAAAGTAGACGTTAGTTCGTCAATACAGATAGGAATTGAAAAAGCGCTCCAAACCGGTATAATTAAATTACCGTTCCGTAGGACAGATGTTAAAGTCTTTACATTAACTAGCGGGATTCAGTCTACAAGTATATCAAACGTTGTTATCGGTCAACTACCTTATAGAATAACTCTCGGATTAGTTTCTAATTCTGCATTTAATGGAAATGTGAAGCGTAATCCTTTTAATTTTAAAAATTATGATTTAAATTATATATGTTTATCAAAAGACAATCAAATGATTCCTTCTAAACCCTATACTCCGGATTATACCAATAAAATTTATGCAAGAAATTTTATCTCGTTATTTGAAGATACCGGATGTATTCATCATCATAAATCTATAAATATATCGTACGACGAGTACCGAGACGGTTATACTTTATATTGTTTCGATCTTACCCCTGATAAATCAGGCTCCGAGAATCACGTTAGTGTTAACGAGCTGGGAAACATTTCTGTGGAATTAAAGTTTTCGAAGGCGATACCAGAAACCATAAACGTTGTTTGCTTGCTAGAATATAATAATACCTTAGAAATCGATCATTCACGAACTGTATTCGTCGATTATTAATGAATACCGTTACGTTGTGGAGATTAGCAGCGAGCGATCCGAAAATAAAAAGAAATTTTGGAGGTGTTTTTGCATCTGACAATCTACCGTTTCGAGTTGGTAATAAACAATCTTTTATAATTAATTTAGATGAAAAAAATAAGCCCGGAAGTCATTGGGTATCGGTATTTTTTACGAAAGATAAAAATTCTTGCATTTATTACGATAGTTATGGATTAAAACCGAGGAAAGCGAGTATCATCAGATTTATAAAACGAAATTCAAAAAAATATTGTTGGAATAATATTATTCATCAAAGTTTGTTTTCCTTAAACTGTGGTTATTTCTGCTTATATTTTTTATATAAAATTAATAGAAATCTATGTTTATCAGAACTGCATGTAACAGATAAATTTTATAACGATGAATTTGTTAAAAATTTTGTTAAAAATAATTTTCATTTATCAAAACCGATTGTAATAACCAATAACCAGTGTTGTAATTCAATAAAATAAAATCTATTTAAAATATGAAAATTGTGTTTTTTATTCACAAAACTTACTATTCATTTTTCTGCTATCCGAACCTCTGGCAGTATTTATACTGATACAGGATTTTCCTTAATAAACAAGTTATGCATTCACCCTGACCCACAAAAATAGGTAACCGGATTTTTCCAATTCGACTTGACAGGACATGTTACAGATTTTCCCATTCGACTTGACAGGACATGTTACGGGATTAGGTTAATCTATCATGTTTTTTTTTTTTAAAAAAAAAACGACAATAATCATCTGATTTGGTGTGAATATCGAGGTGTTTTTTATATATGAGTTAGGGTTAGATATAATACTGATTATATCCAACAGAATTATGTACTTTTTCAATACTTAAAATATAAAGAAGTTTTATTTAATACATACCTGTTTTCAAGGAAGAATTCTTATCCTCAGATGTAATGGTAACAGAGAGCAACATAAGTTTTTTATTATCTAGAGATTATATACGTTTTAAGTTTTAAAAAAAAAATGATTTTGTTCTTAAAGAAAAATATAATTTTTGGTGTTAGTGATTGATATCGGCAAGTGAATTATGGTAAATATTTTTACTGATCTTTATAGATAATATACAACTTGTTGCTAGATCCAAATCGAATTTCGTCTTTTTTTTTTACCACCTCTTTTCTTATCAAAATCAAATTCTACAATTAGTTTAATTTTATTTAAGTTTTCATTATATCATCAATGATGTTACTAATATCATGAGTATAGAGAAACAAAAAACTGTCATAATATTTTTTTTTTCTCAAAATCAAATTCTACAATTAGTTTAATTTTATTTAAGTTTTCATTATATCATCAATGATGTCACTAATATCATGAGTATAGAGAAACAAAAAACTGTCATAATATTTTTTTTTTCTCAAAATCAAATTCTACAATTAGTTTAATTTTATTTAAGTTTTCATTATATCATCAATGATGTTACTAATATCATGAGTATAGAGAAACAAAAAACTGTCATAATATTTTTTTTTTCTCAAAATCAAATTCTACAATTAGTTTAATTTTATTTAAGTTTTCATTATATCATCAATGATGCCACTAATATCACTAGTATAGAGAAACAAAAACTGTCATAATATAATTTCTTAACCGAATTATTAGGCGAAAAAACAGCTGTCCTCTACTGCCATAGTTTGAAGACAAAAAAAAGCTGGGGAAAAACAGCTGTACCCAAGTTAAAAGACGAAAAACACCTGCGAAAAAACAGGTGTGCCCTTGTACCAGTTAGAAGACAAAAAACACAGCTGTCCCTAGTTCCAAGACACAGCTGGGGGAAAAACAGCTGTCCCAGTTTGGTAGTTTGAAGACAAAAAACACAGTGTGGGAAAACAGCTGTACCCTAGCACCGTAGTTAGAAGACAAAAACACAGCTGTCTGAGTTTAAAGACCAGCTGCGTTCCCACGACCTAGATAATAACTCTTCGAAGACAGGACAAAGAAGTAGCTGAGGATAAAAGCGGGTGAATTTTTTCCAGAACTTCAGTCATCGACCAACCTTTCTACTGAGAACTTCACTCATCAACCAACTTTTCTACCGAGAACTTCACTCATCGACTAAGAACTTAACTCATCATGTCTGACATCGGTAATTCTTATACAAATTAAATATAATCTTTACTGTATCGATATAATTCAAAAAATTTTTATTAATTCAAAAAAATTTTTTTTTATAAAATTTTAAAAAATTTATAAAAAAAATTTTTTTTAAACATTGAGTTATATACATATACTAATTAATTTTTGTACTTCAGAATGTATCAAACGCATACTACTCCTATCAAATAAATTCATCTATTGCCTTTTTGCAAAAACGATTAAATGTGTAAATTCCAGCAAGATGACCATACATTCAGCATCTTCTATACTAGTAGCCAGACTTGTGAAGAATAATATTGCTGTTCTTCAACAGACAACTTATAGGGCTGACCTAAACCTCATACCCTGTTTCCCCAAAAATAAGACAGTGTCTTATATTAATTTTTGCTCTTAAAGATGCACTAGGTCTTATTTTCAGGGGATGTTTTATTTTTCCATGAAGAAGAATTCACATTTATTGTTGAACAAAAAAATTCCCAAGTCTAACTTAAACGAGAGTGACGTAAATCCGGTCATGTCAAACTAAACTTATGAAGTTCCCATGCTAGAGTGGACTTCCCACTCTCGCTTCAGCTTAACCTTTTCATAGCGTCGACATTGGGCTCAATGATTAATTAGTGCTAACCATAGCACTATGCAAATGTGATGTGGCATGATTCCTGGCCAACCAATTAGCGATCACCAGCCGTAACATTATGCAAATCTGTGATTCCCAAGCCATAGTCTTATGCAAATCATGCCGTGTGGCATGATTGTCTGCTGACCAATTAGTGGCTGTACTTTCAAAAAGCCAACGGCCACTTTCAACCATCTGTCAATGACCGTTACGACCAGCGTTGCCATTCCTAGCACATTTGTACTTTTCGGGTACATTTTGCCCTTTCGAGTACAGTATATTGAAAGTACACTTAGATTTTTAATACATTTTGAGTACATTATAATATTTCAGTACCATTTATGGTACAAAATAATATTTCATGCTTTCACGAAAAAAATGCAAAAAATTAGTTTAATAAAGTCTCACTAGTGTCACTGTTTGCTAATTTGATTTACCCAATCACAACATACATATGGTGTATGTCGGTTGACATCAACAAAATACAGATAGTTGCATGTGCAAATGTTATGACTCAGTGGTCCTGTTTCACACGTGTCACATTCTCATGAGAACCTTGATAAAACTTTTCATGCCACGTGGTCCAAACAGTTCAACTCTGTCAAACAAAAATATTGGACAGATAAGGGAATCAATGATTTTAAACTTTTGTCATCAATAATATCAAAATAGCCGNTTTACAGATACTATAGATTGCACGCTATTTACAGAAATTAAAAATCCGAAATTAATTTAAATTTTTAATATTAATTAATCGAGAATTAAAAATTTAAATTAAACAAATTTGGCAACGTTCATTTTTATATTAAACAAATTGCATATAACAAAACATTATAATTTTTGATTTTCATATTTTTTTTATTTTTAATAAAATAAAATTATAAATTAATATAATTTTAAAATTTAAAATTTGCGCATTAAATTTGCATACTTTTTTAAACTCTTTTTAACAATGTATAGTACAATAGATGGCGCTAAACGACGCTTAATCACGTGACCGGTCACATTATGGAGAGGAAAATGAATAAGGAAACTATTACTGTTAAATTAATCGCAGGTGAGGATGTGCAAAGGGATAGAATTAATTGTTGCACTTATAAAAATTGTTCCCTCACTATTACATATGCATTATAAACTATAAACGAGGTAAGGAAAAGTTTTAGTAGAAAAATATTGATCGTCGTCTTCGACATACAATAGTTATATCATCATTGACTCGATCTTGTTTATTAATTTGTTCTCTTACAAACGGCCAATCGTCAGTTATTAATGAGAGGCACGGCTTAATATATTGGAAAATCCGAACGGATAGGTCACAGAATTATTCTAGTTATATATTTTGTTCATTTAATATCCAACGACGATCTTTAATAGATCATATGTGCGTGTTTTGTGTTTGTTTATCGTTGTGTTCGAAGCGGTCTTATTTTCAGAGGATGTCTTATTTTCAAGGAAACACGGTAGGTTCTCTATGGGATGACTTAGTAAAGATGATGTATACTAACAGACAATAATATGATAACATTTCCAATTTGAAAACTGAAAAGTAACCTCATGGAGGCAGATCAGCTCTGACAAGTTAAATGCACTAATTATGCCAATGCCGAGTTGACTTATTCATGTTATTCAAGGTAATGGGGAGACAAATAAATTTTTGGATTGTAATTTTACTTTTATCATATTATGTTTCCTTGCAATTTCACAAGATGATTTTATACTTTATTCTAGAGGAATTGGTTATTTCTATTTTTAAAATTTCTTCAAACTAAAGCTAAAATTTTAGTTACTGTGTATTTAAAATTTTACATTTAGTAGTAATAAGTAATACATTGAAAATAAATTGCTTTGTTTCATTCACAATCAATTTTAAATATACTAGTGGTCCTGCCCACTAGTGGCCGAGTGGATAAACCATAAGAACACTGGTCATGAGTTTGCATCTTGTCAATGGGCTGGACAAGTGAAGTTTTCTGGCTTTTCTTCATGTTTGTAACACCTAAATAGGGGACAGTTTCCTTTAGAAAGTCCTCTTGGGAAGCATCACCTCTTAGATTGCCCACATGTTGTTACTATAATCAAATAAACCAAATAGTAATGGTCATAAACTTTTTCCAGCACTGTATATACATTGGGAAAGAAAGTCAAAAATATAATCTTAATGAGTCAAATGCAAAGTTTGATTTTAAACTTACTGGGCAATTTTGAAAATAGAAATGTCACCTAACACTTATGATGGCATATGTGATGCATGAGATTGAATATGGGATGTATGATTGAATATGGGATTAAATTCAATTGAAAAGTAGTAGATTACAGAGAGAAAAGTTTTATGAATACTTTATTTCTCTGTTATGTACCATAGTGTAATTTTTAATTTTAATTAAATATTTTAAATCAAAATGGTTTTCATATTTATTTTTGTTAACCAGTATTGGAGAATCTGACAGCATATTTCAAGTTGAAGTGAAATTTAAAAAAATATAGAAGGAACTACCATATATTTCGGCGTATAAGACGACCCCCGACTTTTACAGTTAAAATATAGAGTTTGGGATATACTTGACTGTTGGACATTTTTATATCGGCCTGCCCTTGTATCCTATTGCCATACCTCCTTCTCTGCCTCTCAGATCTCGCACATGCGCACCTGCGTTGTTTCACTGCAGTCCTCAGGAGTGAGATCTAAGAAACAGAGAAAGAGGTACGGTAATAGGATACTTACAAGGCCGGGCTGGACGGGTGAAAGATGCATGTTTTTCTGGGCACAGCGCCGCTCTATCTCTATCCATACCCCGGGCATCCCAGCCGACTGCAGCATCCACCCTATAAGACAACACCCGACTTTTGAGAAAATTTTCCTGGGTTAAAAAGTTGTCTTATACACCAGAATATATGGTAAGTCTTATTCTAGTTTAATTGTGTCCAATCACCAGGAACAATGTAGTATTCCTTTGCAGTGACAAATTTTATTAGACCTTTTATTGTTTAACTGTAATTGAAATTATATATATTTTTAATTATTGGCTTATTATTAGTGAATATTTTAAATGTTTTACATAATATTGCAGAGGCATAGCCGCTAATAAAAGCTCATTTCTGCAAAGGAAGACTTTTGTTTCTGATGATTGGACACAATGGTACTAGAGAAGACTTAGTTTCTTCTATATTTTTTAAACTGTGTTAAAATACTGTTTACCATTTTAACTGTAATTGAAATGACATCCTTCACAAACAATTGCAAAGTTTTTGCAACTTTCAAATTCTGTTACAGGACTGCAAATAGGTTGGCAATCCATAGTTTAAGAAGCCCTGCTGTAAAAAATCATACACATGTTAGAAGTAAATTTTATATTTCACAACGGGGATCTTTTTCATATGTACACATCATTATCTATTTGCATATGGTTAACTAAATTGCATTAAACTGAGCACTTCAATAACTCATTCCTTTATGTTATTTTCTGACAAATTTCTAATTACAATTTTGTAAATAATTTATTGCTTGTTCCCTTTATATTGCAAGGCAGTGTATTATAAAGTAAATAATTATTAATTTTCTTATATTTGATGATTCTTGATATAATAATATAACCTAAATTAACAATAATAAATTCATCTAACAGGTAAACGAAACTATTACATAGTTAAATGGTTGTAAAGGTATGTATGATTTAATCATTATTATTTTTAAATATTGGCTGTTTTATTATAATAATTTTTCTATTTAATAGGTACAGATGAAAATAAATACAGATAATTTATTTTATATTTTGTACAAATAAATTTTTTAAATATACTGTATAATCTTGTGTGTAGTTATTTTTCTTATTTATAAATAAGTATTTATAATAATAGTTTTCTTACAAACTTCAAAATAAAAACTCTCTTATTTGAAGAAAATTTATTGAATATTGAATGTAAGTTATATTAAACAAAATGTTTATATTATTCAAATACACAGACAAATAAATACATTTCCTATTTTTTTCAGAGAAGTAATGGATATATCTGTTAAATTCAATTATGAAATGATAGAATATGTACATTTATTAAATAATTAAGAATAAATATCTCAAATATGATGTCATAATTTTGTACACTACATAGTTGAATTGGACAGCCTGTGTTTATGTTATAAATTGTCATGTGTAATTCTTCTGTGATAACATTTTATATGTATTGCAGCTTTAAATTATACAGATGTCCAGATCTTGGTTTAGTCACTAATGTATCCCTTTCTTTTGGATTTATTGAACAATTTCCATTTTATTTATCTAACCACCTAAAAGGGCGTTTTTGGACTAATAAACAAATTGTGATGTCCTTCTAATCCAACTGTTTACTGGAGTTCAAGAATTACCCAGAAGCAATTTTAATTTCCGGATGTTTTATTTATATGCATTTTGGATCCAACATTTTCGCCAATCCTACTCGGTGTGGTCTTTGTCATAGGTGGTACCTACTGTAAAAAATATTTGCATAAATATTACTGAGGTGGGATTGGTGAAAATGTTGGATCTGAAATGCATATAAATAAAACATCTGGAAATTAAAATTGCTTCTGAGTAATTCTTGAACTCCAGTAAACAGTTGAATTAGAAGGACATAACAATTTGTTTATTAATCCAAAAACCCCCTTTTAGGTTGTTAGATAAATAACTGATTAAGCTGGCTAATATTGCTAAATTTGGCTGATTAATTTCCATATTGTCTTATCTGTAGGACCTAGCTTGAAAGTTTGGAAGAATCTTTCAGAGAAATTTAAAAGTTTTGTTCAAACTTGCATAAAAACTGTAAACTTTATGCTTTATAACAACTTCTAATTCAGTAAAATCCAAAATAGTAATGTAAATCATTGCTGTTTTCTCTCTGCATAATATTAATATGAACAATGTAAACTGTTGTAAATTACATTTAATGATTAGCTAATTAATTTTTAAATTGCTATCATTAAATATAGTACAGAGAGTCCTTGTTATTATGAACCTTTTTTGGAAGAAGAAATAGTTATGAGGTGTTTGCTCTAATAAGACTTTACTTGTGTTTAAGTTGACAGTAAAGTTTTATTAAAAAACTGGTTATACATGATTATGTTTGATTTTTACAATGTATTGTGAATTTTTTTGTGTACTTTGTACAAATGTTCATATTATTTTATTATTGTAAAAGTTTAAGTGTTTTCTAAGATTTAGATTCATATTTATCACCTGTATATATAGCACAAACTATGCTCTTTTTTGTTTCAAATTCAACTTGTTTGAGTTTTCTCATCTCCACTTTTAGAGAATACAAAGCAATAAAAAACACATGCTGTGTTTGTATCTGTATGCGATGAGAGAAGTTGCCAACTCTTAGCAATGTAATAGTCAAAGTATTCATTACAACCAAGCATTTGTTATAACCAGCATTTATTGTAAGTAGTATTTTTTAACATTAACACCAGGTTTTGTTTACACAAATGAGATGTTCACTGAAACAAGGTTTATTGTAAGGAAGACTCACTGTATATAAATTTGTTTTTTCATGAAACTAAAAACTTTGTTACATATTGACAAAATATAATCATTTCATTAATATATTTTTATTCTTGACAAAGCAGGCTAAAATCATATAGAGAAATCTATCTTTTCTACCTTAATAAGAGATTATTAGCTCTCTGGAATGGTTGCATGCTAGAAAGATTGTTCTCTTTTTGGCATGCAACCATCTGAAAGTTTGGACGAGAAGTATTTCTAAAAGTGTAAAAAAGTACATTTTTAGGAACACTTTATGTCCAAAATTCAGAGACTGCCTGTACGTGAATTTATTTTAATTATTCTTTTGGTTAGATTATGTTCAAACATTAAAGTAAAGGAAAGTTTTAAATTAAAGTAAAGTAAAGGAATGTTTTAAAACAATAATTAAAATATTGCAACAATACAGCTTAATTATATTAATAGGAATAAACAATTTGTATTGCAATAAAATTATTACACTAAAATGCATAAATTTGAAATACTATATTACATTTTATAGATAGAAATTAAAAATGTATGTGTATATTTGTTGAAATTTTACAAAAACAAAATTTATTCAAGTTAAAATAAAACAGATTTAATAAAAATTGTTTACAGTTAAGTTTACTTAATAAAAAATTTACTTGCTTTATTACCATCACTTGCATTCTAAATAAATATATCAGGTTGTAAAGATGTGTAAACATTTCAAATTTTTCTATAAAAATGATCTAGAATATTTGATATGGATATATAAGCAGAGTAACCATGGGCATTTCATCACATATTTCATTGGAAATAGATGTATCAGTAATGTCAGACTATATGAAGCACATTTGTGTGCTCTTATTCTATCACTTCCATCTGCAAGGCATTTGGTGAGGACACAGCCAACAAGCAGACCTGCTACAATTGGTTCAAGAAATTCAATGATGGAGATTTCTTTCTTCAAGATGAGCCCCATCCAGACAGTGATTCTACCACTGATGATATTCTCCTGCAACTGACATATGATAATCCATGGTTGACCACCAGTGAATTAGCACAATAACCATTCAGTCTGATACCACCAAGATGACATGCTATGTAGCCTTAAAGAAGCTGCCCAGTCTGGACTGAGAGGTTCTGTCTCATCCACCTTACATCCCAGACTTGATGCTGATTACCATCTATTTCATGCTTTGCATAACCAATATTGCCAATGTATAGTTCAATGACAACACGCAACACTCAAGACTTTCTTCAAAGAAAAATCCCAGTTATTCTGTGCTCACTGGATTAAAAGTTTTCAGCAAGATGCAATTGGTATTGATAGTTATTACCTACAAGATTGAATTGTAATCGTTATTGAGTTAATTATCAATATAGTTTTTTTTTTTTCAAAATGTCAAAATTTCACTTGTATGATCTGATAAAATAATCTTAAATTGTTTTATTTTAAAATTCATTGTCTTGAAACTTAATTGAATAAAATTTTTATATGATATTTTTATCCTTTTATATGTTAAAATATAAAAGGATTTGTATTTTAAAATATTTTATAAAATGCTGCTTGGAATTTTAATATACAGTGATATATGGTAGTTGTATGTATATTAGGTTGCATTTTAAAAATGTTTTTTATATTTTACATCATCATCCATAAATTAAAGAATTATAATATTTAAAATCTGATTTAAATATGCTAAAAATTTAATATTAAAAATACATATTTATGAGGTACATTGAACTTAGCTCTAATGTAACAATCATTGAATCAATCATTCAGCAAGTTAGTCACGAATCATACACAAATATAGTTACATAATCTAATATTTACTGTCATATCTCTAAAAATATTTTAAAATTATGTTTACTGATCTTCACTTTCTAGTTTGGAAGTATTTTTTCATATTCAAATAATTCTAAATAAATAAAAAGTGTGAAGTTTGAAATTATTGACTGCATATTATATCAGATTGGCCAATTTTTAATAAATTATTATAAGAAAACCAGAATTTTAATATTGTTTTATTATATACATAAATTATTGCTATATTTATTTAGTGCTGCAATTTAGTTAATTCGAGGGTTTATTTTATTATTTTTGGTCCACCAGTGGCGTGCATCCTTCCTTAATTTTGAAAATGGAGTTAGATAGATGAAAGTCAAGACCAGATATGAAAAGTTTAGAAGCAGGAGGCCCCAATTAACAGTATTTTTAATTCAAAATTTTCTCCAGAACAATTATGTAGATTTATTCAAATGTCTATTAAACAGAATATGAATTCATTTATTAAGAATTATTAAGACAATTTATTTTTATTATTTTTTGAAGTATTCAAGCATGAAGTATGCCAAGTAATTGTGAAAGTTGCCTTTTAGGAATTGTACTTTGTATCATTATTTGTCTATTTATTCTATTATGAGAATGATTTGCTGAAATTGTTTTTATATTGAATGATTATTTAAAGTGGTCTTCAACTTCTAAATATATCTTTGCTGAATTAAATCATCAGTAACAGAGAGCAAAGTTCTTAAGCAAAAGTATAATGCTAATTTTTTTGTTTTATATAAGAACACGTGGTACGGTTTAGTGTGATGCACTAATTTAAAAAAAAAAGTTAATATTTTTTAGAGAAGCAAATTTACAGATACTATAGATTGCACGCTATTTACAGAAATTAAAAATCCGAAATTAATTTAAATTTTTAATATTAATTAATCGAGAATTAAAAATTTAAATTAAACAAATTTGGCAACGTTCATTTTTATATTAAACAAATTGCATATAACAAAACATTATAATTTTTGATTTTCATATTTTTTTTATTTTTAATAAAATAAAATTATAAATTAATATAATTTTAAAATTTAAAATTTGCGCATTAAATTTGCATACTTTTTTAAACTCTTTTTAACAATGTATAGTACAATAGATGGCGCTAAACGACGCTTAATCACGTGACCGGTCACATTATGGAGAGGAAAATGAATAAGGAAACTATTACTGTTAAATTAATCGCAGGTGAGGATGTGCAAAGGGATAGAATTAATTGTTGCACTTATAAAAATTGTTCCCTCACTATTACATATGCATTATAAACTATAAACGAGGTAAGGAAAAGTTTTAGTAGAAAAATATTGATCGTCGTCTTCGACATACAATAGTTATATCATCATTGACTCGATCTTGTTTATTAATTTGTTCTCTTACAAACGGCCAATCGTCAGTTATTAATGAGAGGCACGGCTTAATATATTGGAAAATCCGAACGGATAGGTCACAGAATTATTCTAGTTATATATTTTGTTC